GGCTAGTTTTAATGTTTTGTTGTTATTGAGTGAGCTGGTTCTAGTTATTTGTTTAATTGAATGTTCTGGTTCTAGTGTTTTTTTATTGAGTGAGCTAGTTCTAGTGGGTTTTTTTATTGAGTGTGCTGGTCCAAGTGTTTTGTTGTTATTGAGTGTGCTGGTTCTAGTGTTTTTTTTTTGTTAATGAGTGAGCTGGTTTTAGTGCGGTTTTTTTATTGAGGAAGCTGATTCTGGTGTTTTATTGTTATTTTGTGGGCTGGTTCTGGTGTTTTGTTGTTATTGAATATGTTGATTCTTGTGTTTAGTTGTTATTTAGGTAACTGGTCCTGGTGTTTTGTTGTAATTAAGTATTATTATTGAATGGGCTGGTTCTAGTGTTTTGTTGTTATTGGTTGAGCTGGTTCTAGTATTTTATTATCTTTGAGTGGGCTGGTTCTAGTGTTATGTTGTTATTGAATATGTTGATTCTTGTGTTTAGTTTTTATTAAGGTAACTGGTAGTTGTGTTTTGTTGTAATTTAGTGTTGTGGTTCGAGTGTTTTGTTGCTATTAGGTGTGCTGGTTTTAATGTTTTGTTGTTATTAGGTGTGCTAGTTTTAATGTTTTGTTGTTATTGAGTGAGCTGGTTCTAGTTATTTGTTTAATTGAATGTTCTGGTTCTAGTGTTTTGTTGTCATTGAGTGTGCTGGTTCGTGTTTTTTTTATTGAGTGAGCTAGTTCTAGTGGTTTTTTTTATTGAGTGTGCTGGTTCAAGTGTTTTGTTGTTATTGAGTGTGCTAGTTCTAGTGTTTTTTTTTATTGAGTGAGCTGGTTTTTGTGGGTTTTTTAATAAGGAAGCTGGTTCAAGTGTTTTGTTACTATTGTAGTGTTCTAGTTCAAGTGCTATGTTGTAATTAGGTATTCTGGTTACAGTGTTTTATTGTTATTAAGTGAGCATTTTCTAGTGTTTTGTTGTTATTAATTGCACTGGTTTTAGTGTTTTTGTTGTTTTTTAATGTGCTGATTTTAGTGTTTTATTGTGATTAAGTGAGCTGGTTCTAGTGATTTGTTGTTATTGAGTGTGTTAGTTCTAGCGTTTTGCTGTTATCGAGTTGTTTTGTAGTGTTTTGTTGTTATTTATGGTGTTTTCGTAGTGCTTTGTTGTTATTGGATGTGTTTTGTAATTATTGAGTGTTTGTTTATGTTTTGTTGTTATTGAATGTGCTGGATCTTTTATTTTAATTAAGTGTGCTTTTCTAGTGTTTTGTTGTTATTGATTGAGCTGGTTCTAGTGTTTTGTTGTTATTGAATGTGCTGGCTCTTTTATTTTAATTAAGTGTGCTTGTTCTAGTGTTTTGTTGTTATTGAGTGTGCTGATTCTAGTGTTTTGATGTTTTTAAGTGAGTTTGTTCAAGTGTTGATCATACTTGTTAATGAGGTAACTGGTCTTTGAGTTTTGTTGTAATTAAGCTTGTTGATTCTAGTGTTTTGTTTTTAAAGAAAGTGTTGGTCCTAGTGTTTTGCTGAAATTAGGTGTGCTGGTTCTAGTGTTTTGTTGTTATTGACGGTGTTGGTTCAAGTGTTTAGTTATCATTAAGGTCACTTGTCCTAGTGTTTAGATGTAATTAGGTGTGTTTTTTAATAAGGAAGCTGGTTCTAGTGTTTTAATATTGCATGAGCAGCTTCTAAGGGTTTGTTGTTCTTGAGTGTGCTGGTTCTAATGTTTTTTTGTTATTGAATGAACTGGTTCTTGTGTTTTGTGTTCATTGAGTGTGCTGGTTTTAGGTGTTTTGTTGTGATTGAGTGAGCTGGTTAGTGTTATGTTTCTACTGTTTTGTTGTGATTGGGTGAGCTGGTTCTAGTGTTTTGTTGTGATTGGGTGAGCTGGTTCTAGTGTTTTGTTGTGATTGAGTGAGCTTGTTCTAGTGTTTTGTTGTTATCAAGTGAGCTGGTGCTAGTGTTTGATTATTATTCAGTGTGTTTGTTATTGAATGTGCTGGATCTAGTATTTTTAAATGAGTGTACTTGTTCGTGTATTGTGTTTGAGTGTGCTGGTTCTTGTGTTTTATGACTTGGATGTGCTAGTTCTATTGTTTTGTTGTTATTGAGTGTGCTTGTTAGTGTTTTGTTTCTATTGAGTGTGTTAGTTCTAGTGCATTATTGTTATTGAGTCTGCTGGTAATAGGATTTTGTTATCATTGAGTGTTATTTCTAGTGTTTTGTTGTTGTTGGGTGATCTGGCTCGTGTTTTGTTTTTCAATGTGCTAGCTCTAGTGTTTAGTTATTTAGTGTGCTACGTCTTTTGGGGGCACGTTTTAGTCTAGTATTATCTTATTCATTCGAAATCTTAATTGTAACAATGTTTCAATGTTCCTTCAATAATGCTCCAATCTCTTATTAAATTTTCCTTTTCGGAGTCCTATGATGCATATAGTTAGGAAGAAAAACTAACACAATAGTGTTATAACTTAAAGTTAGACACAATCTCTTGGGGTGAGCAATATATTGTTAAAGTAAACTAGTTACCAGTAAAGGACCTTGAACTTATGCCCGAAAAACAATAGGCCTTTTTCCTCTCCCTCTAGATTTCAACTGTATTCATTTCATTCCAATCAAGCCATGAAGACTCAAGATAACAACTGGAAACCATTTTTCCAGAGTTAATGATGATTTTAATGGGCTTTTTTTCTGATTTGATTTTGAAAGTACCTGGTAGTGTGCAGTGACTCATGTATTGAACAAATGAAGGCCAGTTTATTGAACCAGCTCAATCAATCATGTCTGTGAATGAACATACTCAATTGACATTTTCTACTCAGTTCAAGATTACAAAATACAGAAAAGAAATTGTGACACCCTCTCTAGTTCCAACACTCGCATAGAAACTTTTTTAGTCTAGTCAGACAGGATTAACCTGACCTTGACATCATTTCATACTCATAGATCAGTGATATACGATCAGTTTTCATGAGGAGGTCAGTATCGTTCATATTATAGGCAACATGTATATAAATGGCCTGATTTTTAAGTGTACATGTCATACTTTGACCTCATTTTTATGGTTCATTGGTCAAGAAAGTTTTTGTGTTAGATCCTATAAGCAACAGATAAAAATATATTTGGTTTATTGAATGATTGTTAGGTGTACATGTTTGTCTGTTGTGGTTCATCCGAACTGGACGTCATTTTCATGTTTTAGTGGTCAGTTAGTTTTTGTTATGGCGTTTGTTTCTCAGGTACATAGCCTATAGGTCAACTATATTAGGATTCGGTGTTTGAATTATTAGAAGGTGAACATCTGCTAGTGCTCATCCTGACCTGGATCAATGATAATGTTAAGTTTGTTTTATCTCAAAGTTGTTAAGCAAATTTTTTTTATCATGATCAGTAAAGCAGGCAAGACATTTCATTGTGTGCACTCATTATTCGACAACTTTTTTATTTACATGACCGCTGTTGCATTTTAAGTACCTGCATGTTTAACAATTCAGTTGGCTATACATTTGCAAATAGATAAAGGAGAACAACAGTTTTTATTTGTGCATTTCAGAAATACTTTTCTTCTGACACGTTCTTGTTCAGTATTTACCAGCTATACATCTCGTTATTGGTAAACCATTAATTTCAACATACGTGTTAGAACTTTTGTGGTTGGAAAAAATCCCCCTTCACATATGTAATTAAGACCCTGCTCCTATAACCCCCAATAATACAATCCCACATGTTCAGAAACAATGGTAGTTTTTATTGATTCTTGTTTTTTTCTACATTTCTTATTCAGAAATAAGTGTTTAGTTTTAAAAATGTGAAAAAAGTGCTCTTTTAATGTTTTATTTTAGTTTTCTGCTACCACATGTACAGAAATAGCATTAATAAATCTATCACTTTTCATAGGTTCAAAAATTTGCAATATCACTCTACTATCATAGGCTGGGTAAAGAGGTGAACTTTCTGTATTTTAATCTTATAACCCAACTTGTTCTGCACCACTTTTTTTACAAAGTATGCTACTATGCTGGCTTCTGTTTTTCTTCATCCTTATATATCTGTGTACCTTTATCATTTATTCAAGCATTAAGTAATACCTTGCTCTTCCTGGTTTTCTCGCATAGGTTGAACCAGCTCCCAAAGATTTGAATCTCAATAACCAAAATTTTATGCTTCAACTGTTCAGATAATTTTTTGTATTGATTTTCCAAAACAACAAGTAGACTTACATCTATGAATGGAACATGTTTACAGCAAAATAATTTTCTGTTCCCTCTTTTTCCTAACGTTATTATGCGCCAAATCTTTATGTGTAAAATTGATTTCTTAAAACAATCGACACCAGGTTTACTGCAAACTTTTTCTCCTATTCTCAATCTTTCAAACTTTTTTGTGTATACAACCAGTACTGTTCATTATTATGAGGAGGGGACATTTGTATTTCCTTCTATACTCTTGTTTTCCTTTTGTTCTATGAGTAGAAGACATCTGTTTAACTGGAATCTTCTTCTATTCTCTTGTTTTTCCTTTTGTAAATTGATTTCAAACATTTTTGTGTACCAAACAATCAGAAGTGGTTGGACATCTACTAAGCTGCAAATTTTTTCTATTCTCTAGTTTTCCATATGTAATTCGTGTTTCAAACTATATTGAGTATCACTGTGGGTTCATCATTATTTGTGGGATACTCATTTTCATGGGTAAAGGTAAACCACTAATTTAAATGAAATACAAATTTTCTGTAGGCTTATATGTAGACTTTAACAATAACCATGAAATCAAATACCCATCAAAATAAATGAATCCACAGGAACTAATATTTTTTACACAATCCATAGTATTTATTTTTTTTTAAAGTAGAGTTGTTTTTTAGAGTAGGGGACATTGTTTTTTAGAGTAGGGGACATTGTTTTTTTAGAGTAGAGGACATTTGTTTTTTAGAGTAGGGGAAAGTTGTTAACTGCAATCTTTTTCTCTTTCTATTCTTTTGTTTTCATTTTGTAAATGTGTTTGAAACCTTTATACAAGACGACAAATTATTTACATTTATTTGGATCATGTTGACATAAATGTATAAAGCTTCTGCACAATGAAAGATGAACTATACACATGTTTTAACATAAGTGTGCTATGTACACAATGTTTGACATATGTGTGCAGTTATGGCACAGACAAAGTGCCTTTGAAATTAACAACTGTTACATAACTTTTATATACAGAATAGATATATTAATTAATGTTAAATAATAGAGAGGAAGATACTAACAAATTTCATGATTTCACAACAACACACACCTTCCAAAGAAAAAACCACAACTACACACATGCACAATTAACTAATTAGACACAGCCTTTCACAAAGTTCAAAATTTTGAGGTTCATTTTGTACTTGTTTTTATTCTCTTCAAATACATATTTTTTAATTTTCATTTAATAAATTAGTAATAAAATTCAACATTAATACCTCAAGCCAATGCAAAGAAATTCATCTATTTAATGCATTTAAAAAACCTTCATATAAATTTACATTCAAACTTTGGGAAAGGCTGCAGAGAGATAAATTCAATTAAACATGAATAAATGCTTAAAATACAGGTACATGAAACTGTATAATGTACAAAAATAGAAATGTGATTTCTATTAAATAGGCTGCCATATATCACAATTTTAAATTCAATGATTTCATCAAATGGCAGTTAAAATTTTCTTTATGAATTAAAAAATAAGTGATGAAATTGCGGAGCATTTTAGGAGGAAAACAATTGAACTCCCAATAATGCTTTAAGTGAAATATAATATTATACACAAAACAAAAATTTCCTTGAAACAGGAATGACAACAAATTTTAATGAAATAAATATACAATAAATGAAACATGGTCAGCTACTGTTATTCTGAACACTTTGTGTTGAAGTCAATAGATACAAATGAAAATATGCTAGGACAATATCAAATCATCCTCTCTAAAGCAATGAAATAAAACATCGGAAAGAATTTGTGCCACATATTGATCTAAGATTTGAGACATCACTAGAGAAAGTAGTCTTTGTTGATGATGAGAGAACACTGGACGATTATCTGGCACCATAGCCATGTGTAACAAGATAGTCGCAGCCCGCCGCAACATGTCCAAGCTGGTACCCATCATTTCAGGATTGTCTCTTAACATATTTATCCCATGCATGTTGGCAACTTGCATGGCCTTGTGTTCTGCCATCTCTAAAAAGTCTAACAACAATGAAACTGACGGATGTTTCATTGCGACTGCCCGGGCAGCACTGGTGTCACCTTGAACTAGTTCAGCTAACAACACGATAGAAAACTCCATCATGACAGGCTCGCTCTTGTTTGCTAAAGCCTTTACTAATTGGCCTACTAATGATATAATTCTACTGAATGGAGGAGTAGCAAGCAACAAGTCCACATTGGATTCATGTATACAAAGTTTTGACAGGGCCTCAAACACTAAACGTTGCGGTGAAAGGACGGATGAGGTTGATGAAGGAAATGGATCTGTTGCACACGCTGATGGACAGACAGCCCAATGTACAAGTCCATCTAAAATTGGTAAACATATTTCTTCAGGGTAGATGGCAAGCTCTAAATGACTTGCAATGTTGGCAAATATGACAAGAACGTTTTCCCGTATTAGCGATAGGTATTGCCACCACCACTCCTCTTCACTTTGAAGTAAATGACTGTCTGTTAGATCTTCCAACTCAGTATCCTCACGATCAAATTTTCTACGAGTAGTGTTTCGAGGTAGGTGGTAGTGATGTAATGTCAAAAGTTTTCCCAGAGTGAACATAAGTCCTGCATTTCTAGAAATTTCGGTTGTATTTCCAGTGACACAAGACAGACTACGGAAAACGTTTGAAAGACAAACACATTTGCGTCCAATTTCATCTTTACTATTACAGGCAGTATTTAACGGATGTTCATCTTTTTGATATGACTCATCTTCAAGTTCAATTATTTTGCGTTTTGTATTTGTCTGAGGACTATTGTAAAAGTTTTCCGAAAGTGATGTATTGTTTTTCTCATGTAAATCTTCTGATTGTTCCTCTTTGATTTTCTCTTCACTCTGAGATTCCATTTTTTCTTCTTTGAGATGTTCAACACCTTCTTTCTCACTAGTATCACTGTGCTCATCACAACCGTTACTCCTACCCTCATCCACCTCATCTTTTATTCGGGAATTTTCTTCACACTCTTCATCATTCGGTTCTGTCTTTACAAGCACTTTGTTATACTGAATGTCACAGTTATGCTCAATTTTGAGATCACTCTTTTCACATTGACAATTGTTTGATTCTTCAGAAATTTCAACTTTAATGTTATCTTTACTGTCAACAAGATTGTTTTCATTCTCATCACAATTCTCCTTGTCATCTGAAAATTCCTCTTTCAATTCCATGGGTTTTCTAAGGAACATTTTTTTACTTATTTCATTTTCGTTTTTATTACTAAAAAGTGGAACTATGTGTATGCTTGTGTCGCCACCTCCCAATTGCCAATGCCCAAATTTACAACTGTAACCAGAGTATACATCCCACCGTTTTTGATCAGTAGGTCCTAAATCATTAGTTTCTTCGAATTTTACAGTTTTGCCTTTCCGTGTAACATTAGTATAGTCTGTGAAAACTCCTTCTACTTTCACTTTAGCACCATTTTCATTTAGAACATTTTTGTCTTTTTCAGAATTAATTGAATCAAATGATTCATTATATTGATCACACATTCCACGTTCACTTTCTTCAAATATTTCTCCAAACATTTCTATCAAACAGCGCCTGAAGTGTTCAAGGAGAACTTCCAAGAGTCCTGGTAAATGGCTTAAATTAAAGTAACTTATAGTAGAGTCATCAAATAATAGAATGTTTAATGTATCAATGGCCCATGTACTTTCAGCAAGTAGACCAGATTTTAACGCCATCATTATCCTCCAAGCTTCTACTTGACCTGCAAGTAGACAGAAATGATTAAATATATTTAATCTGCAAATCAACTGTATAACAATTTATTTCTACTGTATAATGCCTATAAACAAAACAAGACAAACATTTTACTTAAAATTGGAAAAAATACTTTTCTTTCCTGCATATTTACTCGTGAGGTCTTAATTTCAAATGAATTATTAAACCGACAGAAAAACAATGCACACAAGACTATACAACAGTTTACAATAAAAACAACACTGCTGTACAAGACAACAAAACTACACTGAACAACAAAAGAAATGCACCAACAATTTTGAGAGTTTTCTGTTGCAAATGACATTTAATTTTGAAAATAAATAATAGAAATGAAAATTATACATAAAAATAAAAATGTGTAAAGCTTAAAGCTGCCTGCTATTTTTTAAGGAAAAGGCGTTCAAAATATTTGCTTAAGCTTTTTTTGCTAATGATCCAATTTGAAAATTATTGAAACTTATCTGACGTTTTTAATGTGAGAATCCCATTTATTATATCTAAAATGAGAGCTTTCAATTTAATTCCATGTTTAAATCACTAACCCTTTGAATAAATACTAGAAAAAGAGAATACGGTCACTGGTAAGAAATAGTACATCATTTACATATATCTATTTCTATTTAAATCATAATATATTTGGCCAAACTTTCTGATCAAAAACATGTTTCATGCTTATTTATCAACTGCAATTAACTTGCTTCTCTGTTTTGGTGAATAATTAAAAAGTTTACTAATGGATATATGTTGAAAAGACAGTTACTGTGTTAGTGTATATACATTTAAATACAAAATCTGTGTATAATGAGATGTTAAAGAATGATTTTGTTAATTTTACAACATCGACAGATTACAACAAGGCAAAGCAAAAATAGAGAAAATAGAATTGCAAGGGCTAAAACTGATGACACTCAAAAAATTAATTTATGATTCCATTTTTTTCATCCTTTTATGAAATATTTCAGCTGAAAGAAATTATCGTTTTGTACATAAAAATAGGAATTTGGTTTCAACTGTGGATTTTTTCCTCTTCTTACTTTCAACATTTTTAACTTTACAAAATAATATATTCTTTTTATGATATTAATAAATTTTTAGCTATGCATTATAATTTAATTTTCTGCTTTTAAAAAAAATCTAATTATTTTCTTCTTCCAAACTTTGTAGTGCCTCAAAAGTTTCTGTGTCCATCATAATTTCAAGCCCTGAAAAAAAAGCGTCCTGACAGAAGCCACTAACTACCACAATGAACTTGTGATACCTCTAAAGTGTACTTGCTTGTTTCCCAGGACCAAATTATATATCTTGGAATGCTTGAAGAAAATAGAAACTTATAGTTAACAACTGCATCCTAAAAGCCCCCTTTCAACTGCAGGGTTTTTCAAGCAAGCATTATACTTTATTTAATTTGTTATTTACATTTTTTTGCTTTTTCAAATTTGTACTTCATAAGCAAAACACTGTTCTAATAAAAAATATGTACTTGTATTTACTTAATAATCAATATCTTTTTGTAAATTAAGTACATTAAAAATGTCAAAATTTTGAAGAAAAAAAATAACGGTCGTCAAGCAAGTACACTTGCCAACAGAATGAATGTGAAGGGCAAGGTAAGGGGGCTTATAGATGTAAACCCAGACACAGTGCAAAAACACATGTTATATATGAAAATGATAACTAGTATATACATATAAACAAACCATAGATCGGATAATCTTCTTGGATAGTCAACCGTATATTCATTGATATTTATTTACCAGGTAATAATCTTTAATTTGGATATCATTAAATTACATATTCTCATGTAAACATTGGACATATTTTCTTTTTCCTAGTGTTGTTTCGCTGTCATCTTCTTTGTAAGTTATGCAAAAAATTAAATCTAACATTGTCCTGTTGCTTAGCTGGAGATATAGGTATTAAAATGTGAATATGTTTTTATTTACTGGTACTATCCAATCTATGGCTTTCATTAAAAGGCACTTGAAAAGGACAAATACATAAATCTACAGGTAACGGAAAATCAAAAGTACATCATAGCGTTTCAGATTTATCCTGCACACTTTTTTGGATCATTTATTTTTCTAACTTTCCAATTCTAAATGATAACACATTAATCTAAGAGTGCACTAATCCATCTTTATGCAAACAACAATTTCTATCCATGCTTTTTGTGTATGAATGGTGTACTAAAATGGTCCCAAGAAAATACTACTCTCAAAGTAATTATTTAATGCAGCAAATAATCAAATTGACCAAGTTTAAGCTTGTATTACAAAAATCTCAATATTTCTATTTCATTACGATTTTGATAATTCTCCTTTTTTTCAGAGAAATCAATTGTCACAGAAAATATTCAAACTAGATTATATCATTTCTTTCCAAATAAACCTCGCAAATCTCCAATTAATTGATAATATCAACAGAAAACAATTTATAACAATATGGTAAAATAAATTCAAAATAATATTACTAAAGCATACAAGTAGACCATGTAAATACAAGCTTTAACTCAGTGCAATGTAATAAACCATGTTATTACTTCTTTCTTCCCTTTAACAAGCATATCCAATACCATTCTATGCTATTTACATGGTGTAAAACACATACCAACATCAGCCTTTGAAAGACGTTTCCTTTTAGTAAGAACTGGACTAATGGATTCTATGCTTTCTGGAGGGAAAATCATTTCTTTCTTTGGTGGGTAGGCTGAATTCTGTCCCATGCTGACAGACTTCTACAAAAGACAATCATACAATAATGAACTTCTGCTTGGATGTTAAATATCTAGACAATTTTTTAAACATCCTTATAATATAACATCTAATTATTCTTTAAATTTTAAAACTCCAGTTTGTGTGTTTGTTAGGTGAACCTTGAAGCTGTTGTTTACATACAAAATGTTTTCATTGCATCCTTAAACACCTGCTAGTTAAACAACCAATAATCAATCAACTAAACACCTGCTCATTGATTTGATACTGTCTTGTTGTTTTATCAACAGGTAATAAACAAATGTAATATTTCATTTCAAGGTCCAGTGAACAAGGAAGTAACTATCAAACTAAATATCTCCAAGCACGAAGAAAAAAAGTGTGGAAAACTGATTTGCCTGATTGACGAACGGACAGAGTGAAAAACCTATAGTCCCCTTCAGCTTTGCCAGTAGGGGACTAAAAAGATAAGCTTAAGGTATTTGTACCACAATGAAATAAACCAATGGACCATCACCTCATGATATGCCCAATAATTCAAAGCTTTGCCTTTTCCATATAAAATAAATGTGGATTGTGTCCACATGTGGACACAGATGATGCCCCCGCTTGCATATCATATAGCTATAAAGGGACATAACTGAAGAACAGTAAAAGTGATGCTACCCAAATTTGAACTTGATCTGAGTTTTGTGGTAATAAGCATTGTGTGTAAGTCTCATAACATTTGGTTGAGGCAAACTTAAGTTAGAGAACGGAAACTAAAAATTTTGCAATTTTTCCATTTATAAAGGGGCATAACTCTAGAACGGTTAAAGTGACGCCACCAAAATTCAAACTTGATCTGTGTTTTGTGGTAATAAGCATTTTGTATAAGTTACATAACATTTGGTTGAGGCAAACTCAAGTTAGAGAACGGAAACCAATTTTGGGACGTACGTACAGACGGACAAGGGTAAAACTTACCGTAGAAAGGCTTGTATAGTCCGCGGTTTTATTCTCCAAAATTTGACCTTCCAGACGGGGTGCGGACTATAGAGTACAATAAGCAAGAAATAAGAGAAAAATTTCAATTTCGCGGTCGAGGTGGTTTGTTTACGTTCCGCCATCTTTGTTATTTCTATTGTAGAGGGCGCTCTTATCATTTTTCAAACTAATAATTTTAACTCATCCATATTAATAAGTTATTCCTATTCAATATCAAATTAATACTGATAAATATAAAAACTAAACCTTTCATTACAAATTTCTCGTTTCTTTTCAATGCATTTGTTGAAATAAACTGGTATCTGCTTGATTGAAACGATACAAACATAGTGAAAAAGACAACCGTAAACCAGCTTAGAATTTGTAAACTACAAAACGTAATCGGTTATTGTTCGTTCCGTTTTGGTGTTTCATACTGACTAATATGGTTTGTATTAGCTTAAGACCCTTCAAACATTAATGTGATAGATATATTAAAGACTGTTTTACAAAAGGATGGAACTGTTTTACTTTCAAAGTCGTATTATAGTGATATCTGTGGTATGTACGGATTTCGACTCTCACCGGTTAATTTCTTCTTTTACACATGCTTTTTAAACTTCCTGTTTAAACATACACAAGTTTCTAAATTGTTTTTTAAGTGAATTAAACTTATTTTAACAATCATGAAGCGTTCTAGAATCATTTACAAGCAGTTTCAGCTTCTGTTTGATGATGGAAAACATGTTTTTCCAAGAAAATACCGCAAACGACCGCACAGGATTTGAAATTACCGGAGTTTCATTAGACCTTTTCTAACAGTTACAAAAAGTTTTTTTACCTAAAATTTCGTTGGGAGAAGGGGGTGCGGACTATGTACCACTGCGAACTATACAAGCCTTTCTACGGTAATGCCTCGTCCGCTACGGCGGGGGCATAAAAATTGAGCCATCAGTTAAGACAAACTATTGAGTTATATTGTGATACCTCGAAGAAAGGTCCATTACTCTTACCTGCATTCTTTGGGGAGACATGTGTTTATCCCTGTTTGGCGACATTCTCATGCTGGCCACTCTTTGGTATGGACTTGCCATATGCATTCCACCAGCAGGTCCGTAGTTAGGATGCTGTGCAGGGTAACGAGGGCCCATTGGTGACCACTGGGGATGACCTTTACTTTCTGAAATCAACATGTTATTTAAGACAAAGTTTATTCAATACATGTTCAAAATATTATATTAAATCTGGAAGTGATATATAAAATGTTCTTACAAATAGATAAGAAATTTTCATGCTACTACTTTGTGAATAATAGATTGTATAATACAGGTTTTTTATATGTACTGTTTCTGTTTGAAAAACATGCAATAGACTCTGGAACTTCTAATTGGTTTTACAAATCACTAAAATTTAAATGTGTTTCATATCAAGTGCATATGCAATGCCCAACTACTTTCATCAAAGTATATATACCATTACTGTGGTGTGACAAGCTTATAATTATACAAATGCAGTGAGTTTTTTTTTATTTAAAGCAGTAACAAACTAAAACATGTAAGATGAACACCTTTATACACTATTCAATTTATCATGGACCAAATCAATATTTAACCTCTTTATTGTCAAAGTTCATTGAAATCTAATTAAAGCATTTCTTTAAATGAAGTATATTGTCTGATTTTCAAAATACAACTAAGCATTTCTGAATTTTCTATTCCTACATAATACCTTAGGTGATGGAGCAATTCAGAAATTCAACTTCAATCTTTCCAAATTATTCTGGACAATTTAGAATGTCCAAACAAGCGAAATTCCCATATAATAACAATTCAACTTCTGAATTAGTCCATCATTTAACATTAAAATAAAAATACTTTAAAAAGTGATCAACCCAGCAACAAGTGACTGTAGACTCTGTAACAAAACATGACTATATACAACACAACACACAAGAAGACAAAGAGATATGATATATACAGAAAGTTTCTATAATATCTACTGACACTCAAGAGACAACCTACCAAATGTTTGGTTGTCCATCATCCCTTCTCCTTGATAATACGTAGGACCAGGGTAAGGTCGCTCAGGGTAATAACCACCTAACAGAAAAAATACCAACTCCAAAATGAAGCGTATATTTCTGTATATTTAATGTCAATTTAAACAAGCCCTATTATTACTTAAAAGTCTACCTTTTAACTTTAACCAATAACATTGATGCTAACAACATTAAATGACTTAAAACCTCAAACTATAATTTGGGTTTCATATTGTCAGAAATAAGCAACAGTTCTTTAAACTTCATGCAATTTTTCTTTTTTCAATCTACAACTTGGAAGCAAAAAAGATATTTTTCATTTTGCAGTTTTCATAAAATATTTTTCAATACCAAAAAATTAAAGATATACCTCATGCAGGTAACATAATCTACATTAAATACACATGTCCTCGTTTTCATATCAACACTCACCTTGATCATAGGTATTTGGATATCTTTTGTTTGGAGTATTGTACATCTGAGGAACACTGCCTATTTCCTGTGACATCTGTGGTCTTGGACCAGAATATGCACCCTGTTGATTTGGAAAGTTCTGGTAATCCTGGCCAATCATAGGTTTCTGGACATATCCTGTACCAAATCCTGGTTGCTGCTGGGCAGTTGGAGGCTGTTGTTCACTGTATGGCGCCCCCTGTTGGTAATGTTGATTACCATATCGATTACTATACATGGGATCCATAGGATGTGTTGATGACTGTGTTGGTGGTGCCTGCTGATTACCAATCCTTTGGTGTGAGTACATGGTATCCATGTTCTGTGAAGTTGGCGTTGACTGTGACTGTTGGCCGATATATCTTTGTGACATCATGGGGTCCATAGATTGTGACATGGCAGGTTTAGACTGCATGGTACTAAAGCTCGGACTCTGAGAATACTCCATCTGTTGGGATATAGAGTTGTGTGATGGCAATGGTGGTTGCTGTATAGGTGGCACTGGCTGAGAAGAACATGATGTCAGCAAAGGTGAACTTGTTGATTCAAACCTGCAGTAAAAAATCCTCAATATATTTTCATTTACAATATAAAAAAACTTTAAAAGTCCTTAAGAATAATTAAAGGTGTATACATACCTTAAAATAAAATAAATAAATTGGAAGGCACTACTAAATTAAAAAAATAAATGTGTCCATGGGACACAGATGATGCCCCATCTTCGTTAGCCAAGGGTTACGATCCAGTCCCTTCCTCTCCACCCTTGGCAGATTAAGCCAACATTTGTGATAACAATGTTGCGCCATCTCCCGGTAGATAAAAGTCACACTCATTCCTACTACATCAGAGAGGAGATGACTGGATCGTAACCCTTGGCTAGCGAAGATGATGATGCCCCTGCTTGCATATTAAGTTATAAAGGGACATAACTCAAGAACGGTAAAAGTGAGACCACCCAAATTCGAACTTGATCTGAGTGTTGTGGTAATAAGCATTGAGTATAAGTTTCATAACATTTGGTAGAGACAAACTTGAGGTAGAGAACGAAAACGAAAAATTCAGCAATTTCTCCATTTGTAAAGGAGCATAACTCTAGAACTGTAAAAGTGACGCCACCCAATTTCATACTTGATCCATGTTTTGTGGTAATAAGCATTGTGTATAAGTTTCATAACATTTGGTTGAGGCAAACTAAAGTTAGAGAACGGAAACCAATGGACGTCCAGACAGACAAGGGTAACACTTAATGCCCCTCTGGTGTGGCGGGGCATAAAAACATGCAATTTTCATAAGAAATATTGGCTTTCTAGAAAGCTATGTAAATTATTATCACTCATACATTATCTATTTATAGTATGAACAAAAGAAGTACATTCCAACCACCCCTTGTCCTATGTAGTTTATCATGACAATTGTATGTGATAATTATATAAAATAGATTTTCAAAATAACATGTAAAACCTGTGTTGAATCAAACCCAATAAATAAAGAGTAGCCAAATACTTTGGTATTTCATTCAACTCCCTTGTTAAATCTCATATAATATCTATACAAGATTATGTATCCATAGGAGACCATGCCTTAATCACACTATCACAGTTCCATGATCAGTAAACCACAATATCTGGGTCAAAACCCTAATATGATACTGTAAATTCAGAAATTATTGCGATGTTTTTATTATTGCGAAAAATGCGACAGGGTAATAATTGCAATAATTTAAACACGCATTTTTTAATTTTTTGTATGAATTAAACAGGATTTTTCTCAATATCACAAAAATTAAAATCGCATTTTAGTCTAAAATGACAAAATCGCAATAATAAATGCACGCAATAATTTCTGAATTTACAGTATATAATTTCAAAAGTTTACATCATAATGAACATGTGTAACTTGAAGCTGATGTTAATACAATTACAATATATTGAAAAAAGGGGCATAACTCAAGAACGGTAAAAGTGACGCCACCCAATTTCAAATTTGATCAGTATTTTATGGTAATGAGTATTGTGTATAAGTTTCATAACATTTGGTTGAGGCAAACTAAAGTTAAAGAACGGAAACCAACTTTGGGACGTATGGACGAACGGACAGATGTACAGACGGACAAGGGTAAAACTTAATGCCCCCGCCGCTACGGTGGGGGCATAAAAAGATCTATGTACCAGTATATTATTTACCTTTCTGGCTGAGAAAACTGGTCACCAAACGGGAATTGTTTTCCAGACGTTGACAGCTGAGGCATTGTATTTGAGTGGCTAGAAGTAAATGTACTTGTTGTAGATGAAATCATTGATTCTATTGGTGGTGAACTTGAGGCAGCAGTTGTATCTGAGCTGGACTTGATGGGTTCTGTACCAAATGAATCGATTGGCTGGGATGTGGGTGGTGTTGGCGTTTCGGATGCATTTGGCCGACTTCCAATAGGGAAATTCTGTTGTGGTGGCATACTGGGACGATTGTAGCTGTTGAAGGAACTACTGCTACTGCTGGGTGGCATTCCAGGTTGTGGTGGTATACCAGCAGCTTGTGGTTGAGGCATTCCTGAGAAATTGGGCATAGGAGAGTTTGATCCCCTCTGTTGACGTGAAAAACTTGGTTCATCTGCAAATGGATCTTGGCAACTAACACTGTCATTTTTACCAGGCTTAGATATCATAGCTGGTGTATTTGGTCCCCCTGACATCATTGGATTGCTAGTCATTGGCCCAGACATCATGTTAGGGTTACTCCCCATGGAACCCTGTGGCATAATAGCCCCACCAGACATCATATTTGGATTTGTAATGGATCCAGATGACATCATGTTTGGATTATTAGGCATTCCACCAGTTGCCATAGGATTATTAGGCATTCCACCAGTTGCCATAGGATTATTAGGCATTCCACCAGTTGCCATTGGATTGTTTGGAATACCTCCTGTTACCATAGGATTGTTTGGCATGCCACCACTTGCCATAGGATTATTTACCATGCCACCAGACACCATAGGATTGTTTGGCATGCCACCAGACACCATTGGATTGTTAGGCATACCACCAGATGACATTGGATTCTGCATGGACTGCATCATATTTGGGTTACCCTGCATTCCCATGCCTTGTTGTGGCATCATACTATTCTGTGGCATCATGCTGTTTCCCATCATTCCAGGACCATGTGGTGGGTTCTGCATCATTGAATATGCCTTGTTTCCCATCACACCTCCTTGTGGCATGTTGCCAGCCATCATATTACCCTGCATGGCATGCATTGGACCATGACCATGTGACATTCCAGCATTCATACCCATAGCATTAGGCATCATATTATTCATCATATTGTTAGGTGGCATCATTCCTCCTCCCATTGGTCCCATCTGGGGGTCATTCATGTAGTTTGGGTTCATGCCATGGGGATATCCATCCATGCCTTGATTACTGTTTGGTGTACTTGGTGGTCGGAATGCATCTTGAGAACCCTGGGAATTTGCTAAAATAAACAAACATTAATTCCTAAGAAAAATATATTTATGTTCGAAATATTTCTGAAATTGTTTTAATTGTTCACTAATAAAATACACGGTACCAATTTTACTGCACCAGATGCACAATTGAACAATTAATGTATCTTCTGTGATGCTAGAGTCCAAAATATTTATTAAAAAAAAAGATTTTTTTTAAATCTTTCTGCACATCCTTTCCAAAAATATGTTTAAAACTGTCAAATTGCACTAAACATTCTTTTATCAATATGTGACATTACTTAATAGCCTAAATCAATGATATGTGTGTGTGTGCATGTGTTTCCATAAAAGATTGATCAGTTTGGCTTTCCTGTTTAGACTATCCTTAGGAATTATGTGCTTATCTCTTATTTTTTACTTTGCATATAAATATGAAAATAGTTCATTTGCATACAAATTTACATTCAACGTGTTAGAAGCTTTATTTCTTACCTGGAGAAGGTGCTCTACCTCGGTTCTTTTGTTCTCGTTTCTGCTGAAGTTGGGCCTCTATTTGAGCAAGTACAGGTTGAGGGTCCATTCCTCCACGATCAAACTGACATTCATAGGCAAAAAGGTATTTGATGTAGTTCTTTTTCAATGTAAAAGCAGCACTCGCAGATGAGCCAATACTAATAACACCACAAATTTCCTTCCACTTTTTTGTCTTGGTAACCTGTAATAATAACATTGTTTTTCAAGTCTCAATTATTGTTTGCTCTATAACTTTCTTCAAATTTCAGAGCATCTTTTTCTCAATTGGAAGTGACAAGACTGCCATCAATCATGGTATAACCAACTTTTATCAAACAAATAAGTCCATAATGTAAAAAATAAACAGCTGCGCCATGAGCGCATGATACGCCCGTCACGTTTTCAAGGAATAAAGTTCAATAACTTCTCAATGTCATATCAGAAATTTATGAAAAACTGAAGGGAGGTTATCTTAATAGATATAAACTAGTCATCAAAGTTACATAAAAACTGCTAAAAGCACTTTAAAGATATTATCCGAAAACTGGAAAATCCCCCTTTTTTTATGAATAAAATCCCAGAACTTGGAAACGTAAAATCTAAAATTTATAAAAATCAAAAGGGAGCTTACGTCAATAGATATAAACAATTCACATAAGTTTCATGAAAACTGCTGAAAGCATTTTTGAGTTATTGTCCGAAAACTGGAAATTTCCCTTTTTTTGAATGAAAAAAAAACCACAACTCGGAAACTTAAAATCTAAAATTTATAAAAAAAGAAAGGGAGCTCATGTTAGTAGATATAAACAATTCACCAAAGTTTCATACAAATTGGTTCAAGCATTTTTGAGTTATTGTCCGACATGTTGACGACGGACAGACAACAGTATACCATATTACATCCCGTAAACGGGCGTATAAAAATCACACTATTATTTTTTAAAAAAACAAAAAACAACATAATCAAGATTATTTACTGTAAATCCATGACAACATTTTCTATGCCACTACCACAAAGGTTCTATCCGTATATTTTTTTATTTTTTGGTCTTGGAAAGACGTCCTTTTAAACTCTTGACATACTTAAAGGGAGTGGGGGAGGTAAAATGGAGTCTAGCCTTGTCCTTCATTCTGTTATTTTGGAATACAAAAGTTGTGTGCTTTGTTTTGTCATGTCTTCATAATATTTTTCAAGTTGTTGTAAAATATATCAATCACATCTAATCTTTTAAACATTCAAAAAATCCCTTCACTATATCCAAGAGTCCCATTTTCTTATGCTCAAATTGTAAATGAATCATCTTTTAAAAGGATTACAGGTACATAATTATCTGGTTACCTCTTGCATACCACCTCTTTCCCTAACGTGGAAATACAATTTGTAGAGATCAAGTGGTTGTTTACTGATAGAGGGCGTTGATGTCAGTGGTGTGTTCTTATCGTCCAGGAACATGAACAGTCGGTCAAGGAAAAATCTTCTATCTGGCTCATTTCCCATCTCATACATTTTCTGTATGTCTCCATAGCCTCCCTTCTGAAAAAGTACAACAGTTTTCATGTAAATGTCAATGACCATAATTCATCCAGATCCCAGGTCTGATTTCTGTTTCTTCTATATTCCATGGAGCTAAATACATTACATACTTTTTTCTAAATTTATGAAATAAATAACTTTGTTTGAATTAAAACATTTAAATAAAATTTCTTCAACAAAAATAAATAATATAAAATTTCAGCTGTATTGAAAAGAAGAATAGAAATAAATTGCAAATGTTGACAAAATAAAACACCCATCAAAATGGACTGCATTAGTAAAGGTTTGTTTAGTTTCTTGCATATATACTGCATGCTTAAAAGATTTACTTTCCAAATGCTCATGATATACAAAGATAAAAAGACTATTATTTATCTGAAGGCTTTCCAAATTCACAAATTTTGTGGAATGATAGCTTATGAGGTTTATAATATTGGTTCAAATAAAATTCTCCAAGCAGGCACCTTCTAATTTAATAGTTAAATACATGTAACAAAAAATTTATTGCTGTAAGGTTATATTTTTCTCTCTTTTTTAATGAATGACCTGTTTGTTTTTTAAACTTTATTTTTTACAGACTTATGGGTGATCAAGTTCCTTCAATTATAGTTAAGTTCACAGATTGTTCCTCTTTGACTGATAAAAGATAAACACCTTATAAAAACTGACACTTAAGGAGTACAACACTCATCTAAAAAGAAACCATAACAGGCAAGCGTCATACTGAAAGCACATATTTTGCTATTTTTGGAAAATTATTTCAATAAATTATTAATTTATTATTCTCTTTTAGAATCGATGCTGAAAAAGCAAAATTTGCCTTTGTTGCCTGCTAATGTGACAATGATCTGGTTTTAATAACTTTTATGTCAAATCTTAATAAATTCCAATCATTTGTCCCAGGAAATAAATACCCAAACCTGCATCTTGATGAATTCCTTTAGTAAGTTATTTGACTTTTAAATTACATACTTAATAATATATGGTATGTTATTCAGAATGGTATAAACCTCATTCAAACAAGGTGGTGAACCTGCTTGTCTGAAACTCTAGCCTAAAGTGGTCATCATTATAACATGATTAACATAATGATTAGAAGATACAACAGCACCAAAAAATACAACCTCTGGGAAAAAAATATCTGTTGAATAGTATTGATTCACTATTTAAATTGAGATTCCTGTGTAGACTTGATATAATGTGTCATTCAGAATGGTATTAAACCTCATTCAAACAAGGTGGTGAACCTGTTTGTCTGAAACTCTAGCCTAAAGTGGTCATCATTATAACACATAACAAAGCAATTCAAAACAATGTCTTGACCAGATAAAACCATAGACTTTATTAAATTGGCATTACCTGGTTCTCCCCTAACCATGCAGCATAGACGAGTGTAATATAAGACGGGTTGTCTCAGAGTTAGAATAATGTGTCCTGGGGGAAGGGTGACTTAATATACGGTATGTTATTCGGAATGGTATTAAACCTCATTCAAACAAGTGGTAAACCTGCTTGTCTGAAACTCTAGCCTGAAGTGGTCATCATTATAACATGATTAACATAATGATTCAAAGATACAGCAGCACAACTCCATCTTCAGCAAAATAATATCTGATATATAGTATTGGTTCACTACTGAAATTAAGAGTCCTGTGTAGACTTGATATATATTGTGTCATTCAGAATGGTATTAAACCTCATTCAAACAAGGTGGTGAACCTGCTTGTCTGAAACTCTAGCCTAAAGTGGTCATCATTATAACACATAACAAAGCCATTCAAGACAATGTCTTAACCAGATATAATCATAGACTTTTCAAAATTGGCATTAGTGGGTTCCCCACTTAACATGCAGCATAAAGCTCGACGAGTGTGATATAAGACGGGTTGTTTCAGAGTCATAAAAATGTCCCCTTGGAGGGAGGGTGACTTAATATATGGTATGTCATTCAGAATGGTATTAAACCTCATTCAAACAAGTGGTGAACCTGCTTGTCTGAAACTCTAGCCTAAAGTGGTCATCATTATAACACATAACAAAGCCATTCAAGACAATGTCTTAACCAGATATAATCATAGACTTTTTAAAATTGGCATTAGTGGGTTCTCCACTTAACATGCAACATAAAGCTCTAGGAGTGTGATATAAGACGGGTTGTTTCAGAGTCATAATAATGTCCCCTTGGAGGGAGGGTGACTTAATATGTGGTATGTTATTCAGAATGGTATTAAACCTCATTCAAACAAGTGGTGAACCTGCTTGTCTGAAACTCTAGCCTGAAGTGGTCATCATTATAGCATGACTAACATAATGATTAGAAGATACAACAGCACCAAAAAATACAACCTCTGGGAAAAAAATATCTGTTGAATAGTATTGATTCACTATTTAAATTGAGATTCCTGTGTAGACTTGATATAATATGTCATTCAGAATGGTATTAAACCTCATTCAAACAAGGTGGTGAACCTGTTTGTCTGAAACTCTAGCCTAAAGTGGTCATCATTATAACACATAACAAAGCAATTCAAAACAATGTCTTGACCAGATAAAACCATAGACTTTATTAAATTGGTCTTTACCTGGTTCTCCTCTAACCATGCAACATAGACGAGTGTAATATAAGACGGGTTGTCTCAGAGTTAGAATAATGTGTCCTAAGAGGAAGGGTGACTTAATATATGGTATGTTATACGGAATGGTATTAAACCTCATTCAAACAAGTGGTAAACCTGCTTGTCTGAAACTCTAGCCTGAAGTGGTCATCATTATAACATGATTAACATAATGATTCAAAGATACAGCAGCACAACTCCATCTTCGGCAAAATAATATCTGATATATAGTATTGGTTCACTACTGAAATTAAGAGTCTTGTGTAGACTTGATATATATTGTGTCATTCAGAATGGTATTAAACCTCATTCAAACAAGGTGGTGAACCTGTTTGTCTGAAACTCTAGCCTAAAGTGGTCATCATTATAACACATAACAAAGCCATTCAAAACAATGTCTTGATTAGATAAAACCATAGACTTTATTAAATTGGCATTAGTGGGTTCCCCACTTAACATGCAGCATAAAGCTCGAAAAGTGTGATATGAGACGGGTTGTTTCAGAGTCATAAAAATGTCCCCTTGGAGGGAGGGTGACTTAATATATGGTATGTCATTCAGAATGGTATTAAACCTCATTCAAACAAGTGGTGAACCTGCTTGTCTGAAACTCTAGCCTAAAATGGTCATCATTATAACACATAGTAAAGCCATTCAAGACAATGTCTTAACCAGATATAATCATAGACTTTTTAAAATTGGCATTAGTGGGTTCTCCACTTAACATGCAACATAAAGCTCGAGGAGTGTGATATAAGACGGGTTGTTTCAGAGTCATAATAATGTCCCCTTGGAGGGAGGGTGACTTAATATATGGTATGTTATTCAGAATGGTATTAAACCTCATTCAAACAAGTGGTGAACTTGCTTGTCTGAAACTCTAGCCTAAAGTGGTCATCATTATAACATGTATAACATAATGATTCAAAGATACAGCAGCACAAATCCATCTTCAGCAAAATAATATCTGATATATAGTATTGGTTCACTATTGAAATTGAGATTCCTGTGTAGACTTGATATATAATGTGTTATTCAGAATGGTATTAAACCTCATTCAAACAAGTGGTGAACCTGCTTGTCTGAAACTCTAGCCTAAAGTGGTCATCATTATAACACACAACATAGCTATAAAACCACACATTTATAAAAATTGGTATTAGCTGTTACTCTGCTGAGCATGCAGCATATAGGATTGAGAGAAAAGATTGGTTATATTCGAGTCTGAATGATGTCACATTTCTTCCTTAGGATTGTAAACTTGTGAACAAGGATGCTAAAAAGAATATTGCTGAATGTGTCAGTTTTGTACAAAGCAGATTTCATATTTATATCATATACTCAGTGTTATCATCCTGGAAATTCATGCAATATTTGCTGTTGGACATTAAACATCCACCTATCAATCAATCAAATTTTTCTTTTACCAAAGATCAGCTGTTTAACCAAGATAACTGAATAAGCTCTAGTTATAAGATTTATTTTATTATTAGCATAACTGTACAAGAAAATTCCAAAGAATCCTATTGAATTGGACATTCCTGTGTAGATTTGATATATAATGTATCATTCAGAATGGTATTAAACCTCATGCAAACAAGGTGGTGAACCTGTTTGTCTGAAACTCTAGCCTAAAGTGGTCATCATTATAACACATAACAAAGCAATTCAAAACAATGTCTTGACCAGATATAATCATAGACTTTATAAAATTGGCATTACCTGGTTCTCCTCTAACTATGCAGCATAGACGAGTGTATACAAGACGGGTTGTCTCAGAGTTAGAATAATGTGTCCAAAGAGGAAGGGTGACTTAATATATGGTATGTTAAACGGAATGGTATTAAACCTCATTCAAACAAGTGGTGAACCTGCTTGTCTGAAACTCTAGCCTGAAGTGGTCATCATTATAACATGATTAACATAATGATTCAAAGATACAGCAGCACAACTCCATCTTCAGCAAAATAATATCTGATATATAGTATTGGTTCACTACTGAAATTAAGAGTCCTATGTAGACTTGATGTAATGTGTCATTCAGAATGGTATTAAACCTCATTCAAACAAGGTGGTGAACCTGCTTGTCTGAAACTCTAGCCTAAAGTGGTCATCATTATAACACATAACTGTCTACCTAGTGTTGTGATCCTTTCTGTCCACATCTAGTTTTACTGAGACTGTTTATGTTTTAAGTTCCATATTATTACAATTTCAATATCAGCACATTGGAAAACCATTTCAAATGCTCATCCAGTCTGTTAAAATTTCTAACACCCTTCCCTGCCTTGAATTCTTTTCCAATGGCAGTAAAAGATTTTTCTTATTCTATTATCATTTTTTTGTTAAATGATATAATATCACAAACACAAGGACTTCATTATTACAATAATTGTAGGCATCACATGAAACCATCCAAATCTGAATGAATTGCTTCCACAATTGAAAAGATACACACAAACAAAGATGTTTTACTTCAAAGGTTAATAAGCAAGTATACTGAAAAACATCGTGAAAAAACATCGTTTTTATATTGATGATTAATGCTGTGCATTGCTAAATCTCATGTTCTCTGAAAACAACTTTCATCAATTTGTTGACTGATGTATATAACCATATATTATGATATAAATTTCTCACTAATATTTCAAAGGACAACTGAAACACTTTAGATTTAAAAGTCACAAGTTTTTGGACATTATCCCTCTTTTGCAAAAACAAGACTTTAGACCATTAAAAACAAAAAATAATTTTTCTAGGAAAACCATTAAAACCAATTCAAATAAAAGTTGTTTCACATTCAAATTGTTCATGTGCAAGTATTAAAATGTTATGCTCTTGTTTTTATAATCTTGATCTTCTATATTAAAATGGATTTCAAATATGACGTGTAAACTTATTCAATTCAAAAGACAAATGTGTTATTCTGAGTTTTATGCTGCCTGATTCAAAAAGATGAAAAATCTGTTTGTCTGAAACTCTAGTCTAAGTGGCCATCGCTAGAACACAACTTTTTGTTGTATTTTACAGGATTTAAAGGACAAGATAGAAAACAATGAAAATAGTTAGTTTTTAACATCAAATGAAATTTTGGCGTTCAAGCTTCGTCTTTTTCTAACGGAATTCGCTAACTGAAGAATAATCATTGATCAAATGCATCGTCTATGTTCAATACAGTGGAAATGCAAAGGAAGTACAACATAAATAACAGAGAATAAATACACATATATAATACAATAATACTCAAATCATTCCTACATTTAATAACAATAAATTTCAGGTGATTAATTTATATCTGATTTGACAAGAAATTAGGAGTTGTATGTACATCATAAAGCAAACCAAATGCTACTGAAAAGAAAAATTAAAATATAGACAAACAAACGAAGGATTAAATTAAAAACAGAAGATATAAATAATAACAAAATCCCTAGGACCTTTTAGCAACCCCATAACAAGCTAGTCTGATATATTAACAAAATTCCGTATACCGATTTTGTTTGTTGCAACCATATGAAGCTAAGTCACAAGCGATTCTAAGTGCAGAACGATACAATATAACAAGAAACAAGTGCCGATGTCACCTGAGGTGCAGGGTTGACAAGGAGCGCCATAACACCAGGTATTTGACACAGACAAATAACAACCCACATTATACACCACGCCCAGCGACCGACTTACTGATGATGTCCACGTCGTAGGACTGTTGATATTATCTATATCGTCCAGGTATGACGAGGTGTTACTGGCTCCACCTGGAGATGGTGCTGAGGATTGCGATGTTATAACTTCCTGAACAAAATGAACACAAACCTCTATATACTTATCTCATTTTAATGGCGAATTTTAGTTTTTTTTAAATTAACCTTTGTTTAACACTGATAAAATATTAATTATAATCATTTGTAGAATTTACTGTACAAAACTGTTAAATTTACCAAGGAACATCATCAAACTATTCCATAATGTTCTATCCAATCAATGTAGCTTATACATTTTTCTTATATCGTAAACTTTTAAATTCATATACCAAATAAAAAAGAAATAAAAGTGCAAAAAAAAATTAAATCAATTCTATATATATATATGTATCAAAACATTTTTTTACATTTACACTTAAAAATAAAAGGTTAAAATATGTTTTCTTTGGTACAGCTTGAAAACGGACGGAGCTAAATCAAAAGAACAAAATACATTAAGCACTGCATGTAATGAATGAATTATAGTAATAAATAGATACATTCTGTCATTTCACTCATAATCATTTTAAACCAATTTTCATGGATATGTGTCAAACCTTTAACATTTTTACAATGCACATTTTGATTCTTTTAATTCATCTGTTGGAATAGGACTGATCTTACTTCATAAAAATTATGTGAAATTTTCAAATCTGAAAGGATTTGAAAGTGAACTATCCAATCAAAATCAAGAATAGAGGAATAATGTTTATATTCCTGTAACTTTTTTTCTTCAGATGGTCGACCATGTGCCTCTTACATTGTGGAATTTAATCAGTCATGGTAACATTTTTCCATGAAGTTTTAATGCAGCACAGAAATATATCATCAGAATTAATTTCCGCCAACAACTGCCAAGCATAATCAAACCAGTGATGATTTATAACTGAAATAGGTCACTAAAGGAATAAATTAGTAAAGAAAAGTATTTTCATCGCTAAAGATAAACATAACACATGAAACCTGGTTTATAGAATACAAGACAACTGACAGATGGATAATATTGTATTGTGTTCGTTACAAACCTTCTTTTTCTTTTCAGCAGGAGTCTGAGGTTGACTTTGTTGAGCTTCAATCTGTGACATCAAGTGTGGTATAGGTGCAGAGTTGTGGGGAGGAATGTGATTATGTTGACCTTCCATCATAGGCTGACCTGGTTGTGAGATACTTGTTACTGGACTTGTAATACTTTGGGTAAATTCTGTTTCTGTATTAAGAACAATTTAATGTTTTCTTATTTCAATTCAGTTTAACAGGGACTTTTTTTTTTTACCTTCTATTCTATATATATATATGTGCTTATTTCTCATGTGTCATCAAAGTTATCTCAAATGAAGGAGTGAAACAAACAAATATAAACAAGATTATAGTATTTACAAAAAATCAAGCAATAACTTCCAGAGAGATTAGTTCAAATCATAACACTTTTTTTATTCAAACTAAACAGACTATTAACACTAAATTTAGTTTTTATATATGTTCGCCCCACTAAAAATTAAATACCATCCAGGTACAAGTGTAATTTTCAAAAAGCATCCTACTGTTAAACATCTGGATAAACCAAATTCTAAACACCAAATAATGGAAAATATCAGTTAAAATATCACATGTTCAAAAATGTCAATTGTAGAACACTGAACAAAATATTTTTTTAGATAAATGGGGAATGTGTCCTGTCCATGGGACACAGATGATGCCCCCACTTGCATATCATATAAAGTTATAAAGGGACATAACTGAAGAACAGTGAAAGTGACGCTAACCAATTTTTGTACTTGATCTGAGCTTTGTGGTAATAAGTATTGTGTATAAGTTTCATAAAATTTGGTTGAGGCAAACTTAAGTTAGAGAACGGAAACAAAAAATTCAGCAATTTTTCCATTTGTTTAAAGGCATAACTCTAGAACAATAAAAGTGACACTACCAAAATTCAAACTTGATCTGTATTTTGTGGTAATAAGCATCGTGTATAAGTTTCATAGCATTTGGTTGAGGCATTTAACTAAAGTAAGAGAATGGAAACGAAAAATTCAGCAATTTTTCCATTTGTAAAGGGGCATAACTCTAGAACCGTTAAAGTGACACCACCAAAATTCAAACTTGATCTGTGTTTTGTGGTATTAAGCATTGATTTAGGCAAACTAAAGTTAGAGAATGGAAACCAAGTTTGGGATGTATGTACGGATGTACAAGGGTAAAACTTAATGCTTCCTCCGCTACGGCGGGGTCATAAAAACTGTTGAAAAAGAGTATTTTACTAATCACCTGTATTATTTATTAATTACCTGTATTATTTGTAGTAGCTGTAGTTGTAATAGGCATTTCATTTTTTGGTGATGGGGGAAACCCCCTTTGTTCTGAGGGTCTTGACACCATTCTATTTCTATGGCTGTCACTATCATCAGCAATTAGACCTGCTAATTCTGAAATTGGTTTCTTCAGTTCTGAACTAGAAGAAGCTTGAGAGCTTTGATCAGGAGTACTACTTCTAGGTCCATTTTCAAGTGTTGGTTCACTCATATTTGTGTCCGAGTTTGAATCTGGTAATATTCCAGAGTTAATAGCACTATTTGACATGTCTACATTGTGATCACCACCAGGAATTGATGTATTTGACAAAGTTGAGCTACACGAGTTTGAATCTTGTTGCATACTAGGCTTTTCTGACGCATTATGTGATGAAGGCATACTTTCTGATGAAGTTGGTATATGAGATGAGTTTGTTGGCTGTGACAATCTACTAGAATCACTAAGATTACTGTCTTCACCATTATTTGGCATACTATTATGCGGAGGTCCAAATGTCGAACTAGGCACTGGAGATTGAGATTTAGGAAGAGGACTTGTAGAATTTGGAATACTATTGTTCACTTGTGGTCCATAGGCATTGTGATTCACATTCTGAGGTGAAAACATCCTTTGTGGTGATGTCATATTAGATCTGATTGGCTGTGGCCGACCAGAAGCGGCAGCTGCTGCTGCAAGTGCAGCCTGAGCCGCAGCATGTGCACCTTTAACGGGCGTTGTACTCTGCATTCCTGGGGACTGAACTCCAGACGCAGAATTCATTGCACTTGATGGAGGAGCTACAGGAGGGGCCTGTGGTCCAGTAGAGTTTATATGATTAATGTTTCCATACTGACTATTCATGGCATTCCCTTGGCCATACATAAAATTTGAATTATTCATATTTCTATTCATCTGCATATTGCCACTATACATATTGGAACTGCTACTCATCGGTGGCTGTGAAGGTCCATTATATACATTTTGAGAATAATTCTGCATTCCACCAGAATTGGGAGACATTCCCATTCCTTGCCTACTCGGAAAACCTACAAAAACGTATATATCATGTTTATGTATATTCTATCACCTTTTTGATTTTGCTTTTAAAATTCTTTTGCATCTGTAACATCATTTTTATACAAGATACTCATATCAACAAAATCAATAATCCCCTACAAAATACCTTTAGGATTTAAAATAGACATATTACAGAGTAGTCTAGCACATCAAAATCCAATAATATCCAGACAACAAATAAATCCATCAGCAGTGAATATTGACTACAAAACCGGTCTTAACAGTCCTTATCATGTTGGACAACCATTGTGTAATAGTATTTACACAAGAAATTTCAAACTGAACTGAAATTATACAGAAACATTTAAAATTATTAATATTTTTTGTGCTTCCAAAAGACAAGGGATAACCTTCATTATGTAATATTGTCATTGCAATACTTTCTTAATTGAAAAATCCATCCTTCATTTAAGGCTATTCCATCTAAATGTAATTTGGATGGGTAAGAAAGGAAGATGTATTTTCCTCCCTCCCACATCCATTTTAATGTAAAAGCCCTTATACAAATAATTTTTAAACTTTTTTGTACGGTGGTTTAATCTCAAAACAGTAAGTTCCTTCCACAGAATTGGGGAACCATATTTTTTATTGCAATACTCTTTTGTCAATTGTGAAAAGTTATTCTTGCTGTCTGAAATAGTCCTTTGTCAACCTATTCAAATTTGAATGAATGGGATATAAATTTTGAGGTTTACTTTGGCGCATGGACTTGAGCATATTGGCACACTTCAGTCAACATTTGTATCTGCTTCTCCTCCTAAACTCAGATCCAAAGTTTTTGAAACTATCTTAAAATCTTCACCATATAATACCATTGTGCATCTCCTATATTGTTTTTGATGCAAATTACTTTTTGGGTTTCCCTAAGCAAATCATGGACTTTGCAGAGGCAGTGGTAATGTTTCGAGAGCTTTGTTAGCAATTTCTCTAGTTTTAATATGTGATATAAGAAGGTGTAAAAGGCAAGACTAAGTTGCGTCTTTGAGAGGTTGTCTCATTGGCAATTACAACACATCTCCTTTCAATCATAACATAAAAAGGATGATAGATTAACTGACAAGACTACTGAAAAACAAACAAACGAGTCAGAAACATTTTTACATGTTTATGCCTTTCAATGAGATTACTTAATCTTTCTTGACTTGTGAAGTTTATAAAAGTAATCTTACCAGGCTGTTGATACTGACTATTGTATGGCTGGTAATTTCCTGCAGGACCAGACATATTGTTTGGTGGCATCTTGCCACCTGGGCCATAGTTCATATGGTTGGGCCCCATTGGGGGTGGCATCATTTGTTGACTGTAACCTGCAAAATATCTCACATTTATCAAGCCAGGTCTTATAAAATATAAATATTTATTGTAAAATAAAGTAAGAGTTATCTTTCTTTTCCTAGAGAAGATAATTTTGTTGTCAAGATACAGGTTTTGTTTGCAAGTGCATTATATAAACTGCTAGCTTTTTTCAATCATCCTAAGAAATTTTTAATTGCTTAATATACATTTTTTTATTGTTAATGCAAACTTTTACAGAACATTTTTTTTTTTAAATACAACAAGCTTAGCATTAAACAAACCTTGAGTTGCCATAGGTGATTGGTTCATGTGAGTATTTTGTCCATCTATCTGTTGTGATGAAGGACGAGGCTGCATTGGACTCCCAACAGCATTACCTGAAAGAATAATAAATTTCTACATTTCTACCTTGTGTATATCATAAAGATATTTAGAAGTTTTTTATACATTGATGACAGAAATCGAAAAACATATTAACACATTTGACACATACAGCTTCAAGTTGCTAATGACCAATGGAGTGTACAGGAATTACCTCACTAAGTTAGGTAGACGATGTTGTAGACCATCAATCAATCTTGGTGGAGTTGGTTGGCACTAACCAGCTAGCTTAGGAATACTGGTCTTTTTTCAGTAGACCATCAATTGTGGCATAATTGGCTTTTTTGGAAGTCAATGGATCATTGTCATAATTATCTAATAAATACAGTAGAAAGGTGGAATGAAAAAAAACCTGAGATCAATTAAACAGACAGACTAATGAAAATTCCAAAATGAAAGAAACCTAAATAATTGAGACTGAAAGAGAACTTAATACCGAAAATTTGAAGAAGTAAAAAAGATCTAATGTAATATCAAGAACAAAACAAGATCATCATGGTAAACCTCAGTTTCATATGGTCCTATACATAGACCTTATACATAAGATTCATAAAATCTTAGACATAAGCTCATGAACAGTGACCTCAGATTCATAAGAACTTACAAGCTCATCAACATCAGGAATTATCCAAGTTTATTTGTTTACTTAAGTCTGTGGGTACTGCATACTGATATTTTTCATATGAACTAATTTTAGAAGGCTGCATGTGTATTATGCAAGCACATTTACTACTCAAAAGGTTACTCTGCATGTTAATGATAGTTTACAATCATTTGTAACATAAAACTATAGAAAACACTTGATCATGTTGATTCTACTGTGTTTACTTCCAATTCTATTAGAAAAAGCTTTATGATTGTGTTGAATGTAATTTTAAAAAAAACCTTTCACAGTGCTATTTAAATATGCATAGTCATTCTTGAAAACAAAATCTTGCTATTTAAATAATAACTTTAAATAACAAATATTAGTTTTAAAGACTTGTATGATATTGTAGGTGTTAAAGTTAAAATCAAGATTTTAATCATGACAAAAAAATCAGATATTTTGCTTTTGATTTCATGCTGTACAAACAAATAATTTTCCTTGCACAAGAAGTTATGGTTTATATTTCACTATCACTGATTTAATTGTTTGTGAATGAAACATTACATCTTGAGTATAATGTGATCAATCTGCACTCTAGGATACTGTATTATGGTATTTTTACGAGACCTGTTAAAGCACTTTGTATTAAACAATCATAAAAAGTGAAATGATCTAATAAATCTGCAGTAATTATAACTACATTCATCATTAAATGGGTCTTATTGATTTTTTTATTCTGCATCTGGTGCACTTATATCTAAAACAGTCATCCAATAACAATTAATTTAATTGCAATAATAAGACAGTAACAAATTGGATTTGTGGTTTTATAATTGAATTTTATCTCTCTATGCCATGCACAGGTGAACTATCAAGTGAGTCTTAGCTTTTAGTCCTGTGATGTCATAATGTATGTATATAAACAATAAATCATCAAACAGGTGCCAGATCATGACCTTGCTTTACTTAGCAACACATTATTGTCTATAATTAGCTGAAGGGAGAAACCATTAATCTAATGATAATAAACAGTGGGAAATCCCCTGACTTTTAAAATAACTGTTTTTTTAGTACTTATCACCTTGAGTAAACAATAAACCAGATGTTTCCTACTTATGAATTACAATGTAAGATTTCAATAGCTCTCTATTGTGAAAACCACATAATATATACACCTGATTGACTTTTGAATCTAGAAAAGGTCATGGTGTTATTCTTTTTTTTAAATTGGCACAGAAGAAAATCTTTCTTTTGTTCCATTTTCAATTGATGTCTTTGACTTTTTGTAGACAATTTCAATAGATCAATTTTGTAAGATAACACAGGATTAATAATAAGAGATTCACAAGACATAATAAAGATGTGTTCTGATAACCTAATGACCTAATACACGCCCCCAACGTAAACAATTTTTATAAGTGTCTGGTTACAAGTATATATTGTTTCCTATTTTAATTCATGCTTCAGGTGTTGCAATGTGAATGACTTGAATACAAAATAAAAATTGTGTCAATAAATATGTATATATTATGTCTCTAATAACCTATAGATTAGGATCAGAGTTCATTAAAGGTAAGCAGTAATTCCATTCAAAAATACCTTTTAATATAAATACATGTAAACATCCCTGATGATTAAAAATAATTTTACTGTATTCTTATCTACAAATCTGTCAGCACTTTCTGTAAAACCTTCTCTATCTACTTCTTAGCTAGTGCAATCACCTTGCAGTATATCAACATTTACAAGACTTCAGTATATTAACATTTGCAAGACTTAACAGTTTAACACAACTATTCTTTGTACACAAGTATTTATATATATATTAGAACCGTTTTTCTGACATGAAAAATTCTTCCGATTTTTTACACAAAGTTTGATACATTTTTTTGGGGTCATAATCCATTTACTTAGTACAGTTTCTGTTTGTTGTACCTGAATGTGTACATAAAAGCAAGCATTTTTTTCACACCAAGAGTTGTTTCCCTTCAACCAAACCAGTATTTGAATTCATAATTTCACATGTTTTAACCGTTTTTATTGGGCCAACTAAAAATATTTAAAACTTATTTAGTTTCCCTCATCTTCACTTGTAAAATGTATCGACAACCAAAACAAAAATTTGTATGAACATAGTTCTCTTCATTTTACACAACTGTGCAATTGTTTAAAAGATGAAAGAGGTAGAGAACTCTTTCATCTTTTAAATAATTGCAGGATTCAAATATACAATCAAATGGCTTTTATGAACTTTCAATCCAGTTAATTCTCCTTCACCCAATGGTTGTTTTTCATTTGATTTTCCAGTAATATTGTCTGATTTCCTTGGTAAAAATTGAACTACATATATTGTATGTTTTTTTGGTGTCCATGTGCAATGAAGTCTGTACCAAAATCTTTTGACAAATAAGCCCAACAGGTAAATGACAAAACAATATGACTCCTAAGACAAGTAAATGTACATATATTTTTTGTTGCTAAAACTGCTATATGAAACAGTTTCTTCTTCTGTTAGACTTAAAAACAAGAATGTGTCCATAGTACATGGATGCCCCACTTGCATTATCATTTTCTATGTTCAGTGGACCGTGAAACTAGGGCCAAAACTCTACTTTGGCATTAAAATTAGAAAGATCATATCATAGGGAACATATGTACTAAGTTTCAAGTTGATTGGACTTCAACTTCATCAAAAACTACCTTGACCAAAAACTTTAACCTGAAGCGGGACAGAAAGACCCACAGACGGACGAACGAATGGACGCACAGACCAGAAAACATAATGCCCCTACTACTATTGTAGATGGGGCATAAAAAAAGTTTTAAGCGGATCCATAAATTCATTAAATATGGGAACTCCACTTTCACTTTTGGCAAAACCTAGTAATTGTGGAATATCAGGAGGGGGTGTGTCTGAAATCAATCTGGTGCATTAGTGTAGCATTTATTACCATAAAAGGTTAAAAGTTCAGAATTTAAGAAAATTTACAAACCATTTTCAGACAAAGTAATACCTAAACTTGCTTTAAAACTCAAATTTCTTTCAAAAGAAATTATAAGGTTTATACAATTTAATATCCAATTCTATGTTCCTCTTCAACACAATGTATCTTGTTGATTTCAAGTGAGATAAATTCATGATCAGTTCCGATTGAGACATTAGAAAAAAAGATTTGAAAACTATTGACAGAATTACAATGTTTTGTTAAATTGACATACCTCCTCCTATTCTTGCCATAAATTGCAAAATATGAAATTCTTATTGAGATTAAGGGGGTATTACTATTATTAAGTGACAGTAACTGGTCCTCTCATCTGTAAAATTCCATGTAAATTCACCACAACAGTAACCTAGTCGGAGTATATGTTACATAACCTTAATTTTGGAAACCCTTTAAATCTTACAAGAATATTTCAAAATGGAATTCCTGTTAAAAAAGTACTGGAGAAAAACTGTAAATGTCTTACCATTACTGGTACTAGACCAGTACAATTTGATAAGTACTTACCTTAAGGAATAACCCTGATTTAAATCAAAAAAAATTTAAGATCATTAACCTACCTTCTAATAACATAGCAGTCTCTCACAACATGCTCGAGTTTAATGTTAACAAAACTTGGTTCACCCCCTTTTTCAATATGTAACTAACATAATTATGTAGACCTTTCATAAAAAAATTAACTGTTTAATTTCACATCTCCATACTTACAACACATGGATTACGGATCATTTCTTTCAAAAACAACATTTTTAAAGTACTAACTGCTTACCCAGTTATACAGCTTACTTGCAGGAATAGGTAAAAGTATCTGTATTTAAGTATGTTACTTACCAGGTAATGAAGCTGGGGTATTTGACCTTGACCCTGAGGACCCTACAGGTGATGGGATTGGTCTCAAAGCTGATACTGCTGGATGTTGGACACCATCGACACAAGTTTCTTCAGACTGTAAATCCTGAAATCAAAATAAAAGACTCTGAACAAATTTATTGTCAACAAATCATTTTGGTACAAGATTCTCATAGCAGGTTCACTTTGGTTACTTGGTGGTATAAACATCCAACATCTAAATTTTCCAACTCATTTGTCCAACAAGGTTTTTTTACAACAATATTTGTCCCTAGAGATTTGCTCTTGTACACATCACAACCACTACTTCTGTCTTTTTATTTATTTTCTAACAATTTAAAATTTCAATCACATTTTATTACTTGATTCCCCCCCCTTTTCAATATGTAACTAACATAATTATGAAGACCCTTTAAAAAAAAGTGCAGTAAGCTTTTCTCAATTTAAACTTTGCACAACAGGTAACAAAAGGTAAACAGGATGTACATTTCTCCCTACATTACGTTTTTTAGTGATTCATATAATTTGCTAGATCAAATTTCACAAATTAGTGCACAGTAATAATTACTTCATTGCTTTAATCGTCCCCTTAACATGTTACAAAGTCATTATATAATCATTAAAATCAAAACCACAATCTCCCTTTATCAAAATAGAAAAAAAATTCCCCCCTCAGATAGCCCCAGATGAAGTTTAACAAAATTCATTAAAAATGTTATTAAATTACTGAATATTGTCATTTCAAAATTTTTTTCTTTAATTTTCTCTCTAAATGGATAAACACAAAAAAAACTGCTGAATTTATTTGTGTAGTTCACACAGTTCATCTTTTTTCCCACTTTTAACAACATATTAACTAACAAAGTTTTACTTCGATTATAGGTCACAACTTCCCAATCATCATTAAATTAAATACAGTTTCAAATAACCTTATGCGAGAAGACAAAAATTTACCTAAGTACTGGAATTACAAGTCCAATATATCTCAACTTGGCTATGTGTTACCTGTGTTTTTCCCAATGTGTCAACAATGAATAATGTATAACAGGTTCAGACAAAGGCAAGCTGAAAATCAATTATGAGAAATTCCCTTTTTCAGATGATAAACAAAGTCCACATTTTACTATTTTCCTCAGAAGATATCTAATTTGTTTCATAAACTTTAGAAGCATTTATTTCATAGGAAAAGTATTAAAATAATGATGTTTTTCAAACTAATAATAAAATGTGAAACAGACTATAATACAGGCTTATCAAAGGCTTGATATGAAGCACACACTACTTGTATTCTAGCTATGAAGTTTTTACCTGTACAAAGATTGGTCAGGTAGAACATGCCAGGTATTTCATAAAAGGCCTGTATGTCTAGCCCATTTCTGTTCTATAAACAGTCTTCAACTTATTTTTCAGAGTAAATTAAATTGATATTTCAGTAATTATTTGCCAGCTGATGTTAATGGCTTTGAATATTGGGACTAGTTAATTATTTACATTAATTGTATTGATTTCTTTCTCTTTAATTAGTCATTAGCCAATAAAGAAAGATCTCCACTTATCACATATTAGATATCAGAAATGTAAACATAAATATATCAGGGAAAATATCTTATTTATATACCTGAAAAAGTTACTATTTTTAACATTTACTATAGACTATCTACATGACAAAAATCTTTTCAAATAAAATATCACATATCAGGTTAGAAATAACTTGTGTAATTACATAATCAAAAGGTTTGATTTAAATCATTTTATAAGGAAATATTTCTGATAAAGGATTTTCATCACTTTCTTCCTTATTTTTTCTCTTTTTTTGTTGTTTTACACGTAGTCAAACACTGTTGTACATTCAAACTTTTTTTTACAAATTTTAGTTTCAAAATCTAATTTATAACTTAAATAATTCAAAGAATTAAAATAAAACTGTCTTTTCCATGTGTAGGCTATGTGCAAGGGTGTCAGTAATTTTTAGAACTGCAGTATCTTGCATTTATTTGAGACATTCTTTCATGTATAAAATTCTTATTCTGATCATCTCACAAGCAAAGGTAAAGATCATTGACTACAAAACCTCCCTTCATTTTCTTTATTATTAGATATTGTTTCTACCATTCTACACATCTGTTTTCCACTTTTGATTATATCAAGCCCTTTGTACAAAGCTAGTGATATTGATTGGAAAGCTCCAACACCTGTTCCCTGTTCCATGGTCAGTCATCAGGAAACCAGCAGGCTAGTCAGATTACAAATTCTAGGAAATTTATGCAGATCTGGACATTTAAGATTTCTTTCATGTCAAGAAGGCAAAAACTGAGCAGTGTCTTAATTTTTACTTCACTTTTCGCCCTCTGACACATTTGGAATAACATATTTCAGAATAATAAATTTTCTTTCCAAGCAAGTCTTTGAAATATTCCTGTTTTCTCTTATTTTTGTATCGTTTAATCATAATTCATATTCATTACTTCCAATATAAAAGAAACATATAATGTGTTAGTATATATTATGTAATCCCATTATTAGAAATCCACTATTTACATCCTGCCGTTTTCTTTATAATAATTAAGAGCCCCCAGAAACATTGTATGGTCACAATCTAGCACAACAAATAGCTTTTATTTTTATCACATGATATCAAACACACTTTTATATACTTAAGGACATACAGATAGTTGACAATTGTACAAAATGAATTGAATGCAAGTCTTTTGACCTTACCTAAATAAGATTTCGGCATAATATCTTAAAATCTAGTCTCCTCTTTGCCATTTTGTACCAAAAGTTAACTGAATTGATCTATTTCATGTTAACCAACTTAAGAGAACAGATTAACCTTTCACTCGGAACAACAACAAATAAAAAGAAAAAAGAAAAAACATTTTTGACAAGTAAATGGTTCACAAAACCCATACCATACAAAGAATATTTGATGTTTGGTAATTGTGTCTCATTTTTACCCTTTTCTTTCTTTATGAAGAAAAGTTAATTAGGAATTGAAAAAAATTTTCTATAGTAAGTAAGTAATTCTTATTGAAATAAATATATGTGGTTCCCTTTTATCATAATCCTATTTTTTTAAAATTTACAATTATAAGAAATCAAGTGTTTGTCACAAATCTGTTTATATTTTCCCACTAATGGATTTCTGAGATTAATGCACCAAATGTTCTGGTTTAATGAGATATCTGATCAGTTTTATGTCAACAAGTTTAGCTGTGCCAGAAATAAACAGCTGTGTGAGTGATTAGACAGCTGACATCACTGGCTAGTTTCACTTTGACTCACAGGTATAATTAGCACATGTCTCCCCATATAACAGGTAACCATAAAATATTTAAATTATTAAATTACTTCAATTAATCTTTAAAATTCAAAATAGATATACCAATTATAAAAACTTTTAACTAATGTCAACTTGAAATTAGAAAATTGTTTTTATTATGAAAAATGTACAAAGAATTTTTGACTTATGTTACAAATTTTGTTGAAAATCTTAAAAGGTTATTGTTCTGAATATGAATTCATAAAATATCTTTTTAAGCATTTAAATCAAATGTAACCAAAGTTTTAAATATGTTAATCAATATAACAAATTTTAAAAGACAACACAACAGAGACATTACCTGTATTTCCCCTCAGACTACAGTATACCAGAGCTATGTATATTCAGCTGTGTGTGCCTACTAACAACTGAATAAAAGAATCCAAAAATATCTCCCCTACACAGCTCAATACATGATAGCCCAAAAGGTAAAAGGAATTTAAGTAATCAGATATTAATTTCCTTCAGTGGATATTTACAAACCTAGTCTGTTTTATCTGAGAAAATTTACATTTTCTATGGATTTTAATTTTAGGTAAAATATACTTTGATATTAGTGTAATTAATGGGAAAAATAAATCATCTTACCCCTATTTTTTAACAATGGACTGGTCCAACTTCTCTTCACTTCAAAAATCAAGTACACAGGCAACAAGGGACATAATACAATCTTGAATCTTCTAGCATTTATCAACCTCTGTCAATTATGGGCTCGGCCCTGTAGGGCTGGTGTGTCAGATCAGCTAAAGTTTATAGTCTATTTCAGAAATCTTAAGTAATCTTCTTTGTACAACACAAAGGGAAATGAAAAGAAGAATTTAATTACCTTTGCCTGATAAGATTCTTATTTGAAATAGAACTTAGCAAGAAGATTAAAAGATGTTAATTTTTAAATTGGTCCAAATCAATTTAATTTAAATCTTCTAATGCTCTTCAAATTACAAATTCAATAAACAAAGGAAATCAATACCTCTTTAAAATATTTTTATACAAAAATTTCTTTTCACATTTCATTAACTTAATTTTTTCAATAAAATCTTTTAAATTTGAGCAAATTTTCTAAACAAGAGTCTAAAAGTGGAAAAGACTTAGAAAAACACATGAAACTCTGTATTGGTAGAAAGATAAACAACAGCTTTAACTTCAAGGGGAGAAAATCAATAGCAATTCAGTCAGCTTGGCGAATGTGTGGTGTTGTATGAATACCAGGCTTGGTTATCAGCTAGCTGTGTAGTGTTCAATAATATTCTCTACACACTAAACGCCATAGCTACAGTTTTAACTGAGAAAACAAGCAGATTTCTGCCCCTACCAATGTAAATTCTGGTCTCTTTTGAAGTCAAAGTGAATCTGGATAAAATTGTAGACAAAAATAATTACAACCTAATTGATTTGAAGTTCAATTGCAATTAATGAATTGACATTATTGATCTACGTAATTAAATTGCCTCAGGGAGAAATCTCCGTTCTTAATAATAGAAAATACTGAAGAAACAACTTTTTATCTTTAGGAGTATAATTTTAATCTTAAATTTCATGGTTTTCTTTCTTTCAACTTATTAAAGGTAACTGAACTGACAAACTAATCATTTAACACCTTCTCAATTAATACACTTTCATAAATATACCAGTACATATGAAAGCCTTGACAATTTGTAGGTCAATTTTCTTCTGATACATCATTATGATTACAATAGTTTTTAAAAAGGTTTTACATTTAAGGTTATGGAATCTTTTTATTCTCTTATTTGATGATTATACTTATATTACATACTTTTCACATT